AACTGGCGTGTATATATATTTTTAGATATATAAAATGTGTACATATTTGTTTAAATTTAAGTATAAGAGGCATTGTAAATACATCTACGTCATGTATGTATACTATATGCTTTTGTATATCTTTATATTTATATATATGTATATTATTTTTAACCACTTTTATTTGGTACCAAGACATATTATTATCAGAAAAAGTTCCTCTCTTAATTTCATGAAGATATTCATAAGCTCTAAGTTTTCGAAATCTGGTTAATAAACTACATGTCTAATCTGAGATCAAACATTTACGCTTATTTTCTTTCAAGCCCATGGGATCTTCCACTGCTTTTAGGAAAATATGTTTTATCTATTGCCGATTTTTTGTCAACGTGTGCTCTGTTGCGGCAGAATCATTTAACGATTATTTTGTATATTTTCTATTCTATTGTCATTGGGGATCCACTTATAAATATGTGACATCAAGATCCTTATTGATATCACTTAATACTTTTATGATTGAGCAGTAAAATATTTCCTTAGCTTCAATGTTTCTTGCTCTTGTCCGCCGCTCAAACCTGAATCAGACCATCTAACCTCGTAGACATCAAGAAGAAATAGTTTGTAGCGTTGAAATATTTCTACAATAGCGGTTGCCTCTAGGCTGGATGCGTAAGCATATCCTCCTCGTTCATGATAAGGTAGTCAGAGCCTCGTTCCTAGTTAAGATACAAATGTGTTGGTAGGGAACATTTGTTGTGAACGAGCCTTAATTTTTTTGTTTGGTTGGCATAACATCTGTCAAACATATTCAATAGCCTTACAGTCATTGAACAAAGAACATCATATTTTTTCATTGTGTTGAAAATGTCAAATTTTGTACCGGAAAGTAATGATTTGCGAAAAGCATTAATCAACATCAAGCATCAGTTTTGCATCGAATTGTTACTGACGATGGAAAATGGATTTATTTTAAGAATCATAAACAGAGAAAATCCGGTGAAACTGTTAATACTGATCGTTATAGACAACAAATGATTAATTTGAACCATGCATAGAGCGAAAAACTACGAGAATGGGCCAGAAGACACGGCAAAGTAATTTTGTTACACGACAATGCACCTGTACACAAAACAAAATCGGTTACCCCACCCGCCGTATTCAGCAGACTTGGCACTTTCCAATTAACATTTGTTTTCAATGATAGGACATTCGCTAAGCAGCACTTCGATTCCTACGCAGAAGTCGAAAATTGTTTGCCTGATTGGTTTGCTTCAAAAGACGAACATTTCTACTGGCATGGTATCCACATGTTGCCAGAAAGCTGGTCAACATGTGTAAAAAGCAATGGTAGTTTGAATAATTTGTTTTTACTTTCCCATTTAAAATTGTTATTTTATTTTCCCAAAGAAACGCTCATTTTATACCGGTACATCGTATGTGGCTCCTTAAATCCATTGTGCACACATAAAAAACTGATTGTTGTGGCTATCGGACAATAGGTAGCGCTCTACAACCATATAAAACAATGATCGGCAGCTCATTGCCCGCAGTCACTCTCTGAGCGCGCTCTGCGTATACGTGCGACCGCAGTTATTATTCCGTAGAAACGCTGACAGTGTCAGTTGCTTTCTGACTACGCGGCATTGTACAGGTATACAGGTAGGTTAATACAATGCTACGCAGCCAACTAGTTGTGCGCGGAAAACACACGCATACTCATACACAAGTATGAAAGCATCCGGAACTAATCGACTTTATTTTTATATACTCGCAAAATGTTACTACGGAACACAATGAATATATCGGGATAGGACATGCTTGCATGAATAATGTCTTAAAGGTATCCATCTCGAGTCTAAAAATTGTCAAAATCGGAGCATAACTGACACTGAATTTATGGACCCCAGTACCTATGGGTGACTTTTTACCGAAAATATCGGTCAATGTGTGATATAAAATATATAAATGAAGTTCAGAGAGAATTCTTTCATGATAATAAATAGTATGGCCGTGTCAAAAATATGTGGAATTCCCCTAGCCCCCATATTTCGAATAGAAAGATTTTCGAACTTCCGGCGGACTTTATACCGCATATATCGACCAATATGTGGGATATCTCAGCATATTTGCGAATGTACAGATATTTGAGAATATTCTCCGCCATGTAGCGGAATAAAATTACGTAGAATGTCATTCAAACAAATTAATGGCACTAAAACATACCATATATAGTACTGCAATTGATCTGTAGCTTACCTCATATATTGAATATATTGACTTCCGTCAGAAATTACACTTTATATCTCGACCAATAACTTACAAATCTTAATAAAATGTATTTCAGATGCTTGCTTTGAGCATAGTTTTATTTGGTACCAAACCGTAAATCGTAACTTTCCTCACATGCCATATACCGAACGTAAATTTCCGTATCCCTGCTTAATTTTAAACATTATATAGAGCTCTATATGAGAGACCTCTCATTAAAGCACCGACTACATGATTTCACTTTTCAATTGAGAAAGAAGGTATAGAGTAAACGTAGAAAGAGATTGCCAAGAGTACTGTATGATTAATATTGACTACATGACGAATATGACAAGGAAGATTAAAATGCGATGGAACGATCAAAGTTCCTACGGGCACTCTATAAAAGGTACTTTAGGAATATGATTAGAATACTCACAGGTCACAGTCTGGTAGTGGCACAAGCCTGCAACATGAGGCTGACAGTTTGACAGGACTGAAGAAATATTCAAGAGCAAGGCACCAGAGAAACAATGCGTCTCTCGTTCACTTTTCCTGCATTGGCAAGGCAACGCTTCATGCATTTGGTATGAGACACTGGATTAGGTATCGTTAGTGAGGCCACAGAGCACTGTTGTAATTCGCGTCAAACGCAGGCATCTAGGCTGGACTACGTATTGGCACTCCATCTGGTATCGCTAAGTACCAAAACTGATCTATGCGTGATTCATTAGTATATCAGACTAATCCAAACTAACCTAGTAACGCACGAGCTTAGCCTTCGTTTATGGTTCAGAGGTTACAGTAACAGGTATAATTGACATCTTACCATCGTTATCGTTATGAAGCACTTGGCCGTCAAGCAATCAAGCTTGCGTACTCCAATTATAGGCGAAATAAACCGCTATAGTTTAGCGACTAAATGAAAAAGTATGTTGCTCTCATTTAGAGTTACGTAACTACTACTCTGGCATAACTTTCGCTTTTCATATGGTTCTTTTCTCAACACAACAGAAACTGCTTTTATGACACCGTTAAAGGCAAAATATTCGGTCACACCAGTTTCCTAACTCTGACACTTTTCCTTAAATGGTCTGAAAATGGAATGGCTGTGTTTTGGCTAATGAGTTGATTGTCCACCACTCTGTCAAGAGCACAACAAATGTGTGAAACTTAAGTGCGAAAAACCCTTTGCTGGTTGTTTTCTTAATATTTAACAACTAAATTGTTTAACTGATTTACTCAGCCAAGTAAGCGGGTACATGTTGTGTACATTGGTGTTAGCTGGTGCTGTATAATGGTGTTGTCACGTTTCTTTTAATCAAGTAGAGCATTTCTTAGTCACAATTGTGCGCAAACTTCAACTGTTGTAAATTCTGCAAATGATTTACAAGTTGGGTTATGCAACTGAGTATTTTCGCAAATCGTGTGCAAAATTGCTCATCTTTCAGACGAAAAAAAGCATTTTTATATGTAATTAAAACAAGAAAAAACGTTAAGTTTAACGGAGCTAGAATACCCTTCACAAATAATGAAGTTTCCATACAAGAACTTGATTTTGGTCAATCAGTTTGTATGGCAGCTATATGATACAGTTATAAACTTGGTGGCAAACTTAATATACGCTTTTTAGGGTATAATAAAATGATTGCCGGCCACAATTTTCGGAATCTGATTGGTTGGTTGACAAGGTAGACGCAAGAGTGCCAGACCGCAGGCGGCCACATTTAGCCCAGCAACTCAGTGGATTTGGTAAAAAATCTGATTTTATCCACACCAGCTGCCAAATGTCTCTTAAATTGGAGCAATGAATATACCCCGTCTCATCCAGCTGAAGACTGGACATAGATAATGTTCGAGCGTCTCATTATCCTTCGCGCCTCCTCTGCATTCCACCAAATTAATTTTTCCCATTTTTTGAAGTGGAATCTTAAGGGTGCTGAGAATCTAGTTATTTCCTGATTGCATAACCTAACGCAATGGGACTTATGCTGGAATTAGTGACCCACGTGCCGCCCTAAAAATCAGCTGTTCTTTTTTGTTTATATTTGACATTTCACACAATTTTAATAAGCAAGTCGACAGCAATATGAAAGAAGACAATATTGATTAAATGTTTTTAAGTTTGTGCGAAGTGTACACATTGTATAAAAGTATGTAAAATTTGCCAAGGTATAAAATTCGCCCAATCAATAAAAACTGCGGCACCGCTGGTTATCAGTTAAAAACTTTTCTGGTGATTAACCATAACAATTGTTTTTGCATACAAGGATGTAGCCAGACATCTTTAACTAGCTTCTGAATTTAAAAAGGAAATCATTGCAGAAGCCGAAGCAGCGGATTGGTCCCGACGAAAGGCTCTCGTTGGTGTTGCTGTGAGTTGATTGATAGTGTATTGTAAATTAATATTCATGCTTATGTACATAAATGCACTGCTATTATATATACATATATATATATTTGTTAACTATGTGTCACAAGGCGTATCAGTGCAGAGCATTGCATGGAGTAATAAATTAGGGAAGTCAATAGTGCGCGAAATCATATTAAAATGTATGAGGTAATCTGGCGGCTGTGTTCCCTAGTTTATGTAAGCAAGCCAACAGAGACTCAATACAAGGACGTCTCAATAAAAACAAGAATTTTTTATTATATGGAACATTCCGAATTGTGTCGGTGCAATTGATGGCAATTAATTGCCCGGCCAATACCAATCCGATGTTCTACAATTATAAAAAATTCTATAGCATCTGGTCCTTCGAGCCGGATAATTTTATTATACAGTTTTTCATTTTGTAAAGTCTGTATTTGTTTTAAATGTTCAACATGCCACTGGTTAGACTTTTATGCGATTTTTTGGAAACATATTTTTTTGATGCTTCGGAGGGCTCTTCTAAAACGGGTGTAGCTTTGTGCAAATACAACAATATCCTACCGGGCACTTTTCTAAGGCTGTTTTGTAAACTACGATCCTGTGAGGCAACGACGTAACGTCCACATTTTGTCATGGACTTAATGCATTGTGAAGCTGGTACAGGTGCACCTTCGTGACCGCATTTGTGCACATGGAATTTCTTGACAATCATAGTAGCTCCAGCAAGCGGACTTCCCAGAGATTCTGCTTCTAGTATTACACATTGGGTAGTTACTAATTTTATATTTTATAGTTGACTGAAAATATTTTTTTATTTGCTCCTCGATTATAACTTTATTTTGTAGAGCTATCTGACAGAAAGTGGCATCTACCAAAATCTGGTATGGTTCTCGATATGCAAAATTCGTGGCAAAAAAGTTTAACGTTTTATGAGCTTTTTTAAAACGTGCAATTTTCATTATTGCAAAATAATTACCAGATTTTGGTTCTTCTCTCAGCGACTGTCGATCAGCAAACATCGAGCTTTCCTTTGGCGCGTTTTATCGTCAATAACTTTATATAATTTTATTACCTCTCCACTGGTATGCGACCAGGGAGTGAGTGCGTCAAGATTACCTTTTTTATAATTTCATATTAAAATAAACATTTTCGAAACGGAAAAACATTCAATTTTACTTTAATTTGCACACTCGGAAGTATAAAGTGGCAAGTAAGTGGTGGGCTTAACAGCATCTTTTTCTTGCAACTATACGTTCAGCAGTTCGTAGGTGCAGCTTTGGAAGTCAAAATGACGGAGGTACAGTCTATAAAATATTATTAATAAAGGATATTTATCTTAACAGAACAGCATAGGCATTAGCATAGGTGGGACATATGTTTTACGTTACTTCATGAATTCGTTGCTAATAAAAAGTAATACTGAAAACAAAAATATATAAATTGACTTTATCAAGACTGTGCAAGGAGGAGCTAATGTGAGAGGGGGAGATGGCGTTGGAACTTGTACAGCGTCAGAGTACCCTCTATTACGAAGTTCTACCCTTCGAGAACCTTAGAAGAGATAGACTGATTATTGTTGAGATAATCATTATGTCTTCGAAACAGTATTATCGGGGGCTACAGATTAGAGAGCCTTAGGTTTCTCCATGAGAACTTAAATAACGTTTCTGTCGCGAAGTTTTCGGTAGTTTTTTCACTGATCAGATCAATCACGTGATAGTTAACCGATTTCGTCCGATTATGCTGATTAATCACTTAACCAATCTCTCATTTCTGAAATCCCGAGTAGTAATCTTTTTGAATGTTTGTTATATTAAAATAGTCAGATGCATTTTTTATTACATAATAGGGTATAAAAAGATATTAATCTTGATTTTGATCGGTCAGCTTAAATAGCAGCTACAAGTATGTATATGCTATAGTTGTCCAATATAAGCAATATGCTCGGAGGTGGCAGCGATGCATCTGATAATAATCCTTGCAAAATATCGTCAAGATGCACTGTCAAATAAAAAGGTTTTCCTTACAAGGACTGTACTTTGATCGTTCAGTTTCTATGGCAGCTATATGCTGTATTTGTCCGTTTCTGGCGTTTCTGGCAAATGAGCAGATTCTTGGTGAGAAAAGGACGTGTTCAAAATTTCAGATCGACATATCAATAACTGAGGAACTATTTCAAGTATATAGAGACAGACAGAGGGACATGGCTAAATGTCATCACGCTGATAATTTTATCCGCTTCGCAATAACAGATGAATTGTTTTAAAGAATCAATACACTTTAATCCAACGATTATAAAGTTTAAGAAACCACAGTAACTCCACTTAATTACGTGACATTTGATGCTAACGCATATAGCAAGCCAAGGTTTGAAGAGTCGTCAACAAATGGTTTTAGATTTTTTCTACTAACTCAGTCGAGACATTAATGACTGGTGAATAGTCACAGTTCTTGCCTCATTAATCAAAAGTATTAGAAGTGTTAAATTTCGTTTTTAATAATTCATTTTACATCTTGTTCTTTTAATTTATGCGCTTGAAAGTTCCTTTCTTCTATCATTCTGTTCGTTCTTTTATAATTTATTTTTGACTTGATGTTTATTTTTTACTTAACTTTACAGCAATTTTGAATAGTGACGCCATTGATCAAATATAATAACTCTTCGCACACAACTTGCTAGACTAACTTATTCTTAGTTTATGATACTTAGACATATTTTGTTTCCGGGTAACTAATTAAGTTGCCTTTACCATCGTAAACATAATCTTCAAATAGTAAACTGTGACCCTCGCGTATAATGTTTCACTGTTGCTAATTAAATAATACCAATTTATAGCTTATCCACACAGTTAGGTTTTTATTTATAGCAAATTGTTTTATGTCTTTAGATGTTATAATTTTCCAAGATTTCAAATCAATACATACTTACAAGTAGATACCATACGCACATATTTATTGAAATAGGTAAACTGTAACAACTTACAATACAAATACTAAGAAAAAATTATTAATATTTCTTAGAGCACAAGAAAGTAAATCAAAAATTTGAAGAATTTTTCGTCTCTCTGTACATTTGTAACTGCATCACACAAAAGCTAATAACAGGGTATATTACTACTCCCTCAGTTTTATAGTAATCGATCTTAAATTTCACACGCTTCCTTTTCTTCCTTAGAAGCGGCTCCTTTGTCGGAGCCGCCGATATCGAACCACTATAGCATATAGCTGTCACATGAACTGACTGATCAAAATCAAGTTTTTGTAAGAAAACTTGAACCTGTGAAGGGTAAATAAAAGTGCTCAAATCTGGGCTAAAATAGCACTGGATGGGCCATTTTGATGCACTATCGTAGGGCCGTTATAAACTTATTATCTCGTCCCATCTTTGCGCTCAAACTTTTTCGTGCTTTCAATTAAATTACTTATTTTCGTTACGCTTTTTGTGGACAGCCATTCAAGGTTTGGTGCCTGATAGATTCCAAGTATTCTGTGTTTGGTTTGTGTTAGAGCTTGTCATTCACAGAGAAAGTGGAAAACGGTTTCCTTATTCCTATTCAAGCTTGCAGCTGTGGCAATCTGTGTAAGAAATCATAATCTTATCGTACTTGGGCCATATTTGCTTCGTTATACAAGTACTGCAGTTGGTTATTGATTTGCATCTGCTCTGAGCTAATGCATTTATTCAAAATGAGTATAAAGCTCTCTTTTGATCGTTCTCAGCGGTTATGGTATTAACTTCACCTCGTATTCGGCTGAAGAGGCTACTAGCTGGGTCAACTCGTCTGCTTTTGAGTTGCCGAACATGTTCGTGTGGTCGGAAATCAAAATTATGGATACGTGGAGTTGACCTTCCAAAGAGCTTAAAGCCTTCCTGCATTTATTGACTACGCTGGAATTAATAAGTGGCGTCAACAGAGTCAGCAATGTCGCCTGGCTATCTGTGTATATGTTTGTTTTCTGTATCCTCCCGTACTTATTCAATAGAACAACACAGGCCTTCCGCTTGGAAGATGCGGGCTGGCTAAGTTTGGTAGTCGTATAGAGTGAGAGGTTTAGAGACCATTGAAGTATACGCCCGCCTCTACTTCACAGTCCATTTTGGACCCGTCGGTGTAGATAGAGATGGCATCATCCTCACCTACAAAACCTCCTATACATTCACGTCTAGAGGGTATCCTCATCCGAAAGTGGCTATTGAAATCTAACCTCAAAATGATATAGTTTATTTACTGAAGTTTAGCTGGTTCAGGATGGCGCTATGTCCATAATATTTCCTGTTCCAACCTCTTAATTCCTTTATTCTTATAGCAGAACTTGCTGCTACTTTGCGAGTAAAGACGTCTATGGGCAGCTGATCCAGGAGTATATTAAGCGCATCGGTCGAACAAAACTTGATTCCATTAAATTTCCTGATATTATAGTGTGTTTTTTCCTGTTTTTATTCTCATATGGTTCAAATGTATATAGTCAAATGGACAGACAAAAACATATATAAATCTACTTTATATAGTGTCTCAATATTGTTTTGAAATCATAGGATGAAATCATTGTTATATTCTTTCACATTGGTTACACAGTTATTTTATTTTAAACTGGTGTGTTTTTATACAGAAATTAAAACAATATTGCACTCTCTGCCCCCCCACTGACACTTCTGCATATAGTAAATTACTTCACTAAGCTTTACGTGTTAACCGATTAGTCAATAATAGGCAAAACATGATAAAATATGAAAATCTGTTAAGTCTTGATTTTCGCCGGTCGGGTTTGTGTCGTGTGTTCTGCTGTATTTGTTTGTGTTAACAGTATTGACAGCAGTCACGCTATTAATATTTATTTGGTGTCGCTTCTCTACTGAATTTCGGCAAAGTGTAAACCGTAATTATGAATTAAACATCTTAATTTGCATGCCAAATTAAAATTTTCTGTTTTTTCCGTGTGATTGATGATGGGAATTTAATAGGCAAATTTGTTGCGTTCTAATGAGGTAATCTTCAAACCAAAAACAAAACAAACACAAAAGAAAGAAAAAAGATTTTAATATAATGAACACTAAGAAAAGATAATTATGCCCATAATTATTAGCCAGTAGTGAATGAGAGTGCTGTTAACAAGCTGTAGCTTTTTGTATAACAACTTTGATTAACAAAGGTTGTTTCTAACACCATAAAATATAAGTATGTAAATAAATGTTTGGTATGAAAAATGAATTGATTCCATCCATAAGTGAAATCCCACTTTCCACATAACGACAATCTTCACATTGCTAAATATTGAACACTGTCCAGCGGCATTCATGCAGTAAGGCTTAAAATCTTGTCAGACGATAGTTTTCAAAGTTGTATGGAGGAGGGTGAGGTTCATTGTCCGATTTTTACAAGACTGAGACTAAAAGATCTCGGTAATCTAACCTTCGGCGAACTAGAAGATATAGCCGAAACTGATATTAGTCGTCTCAATAAATTTTTGATAGGCTCAAAGCGCTTTGTCGATGTGCAAGGATCTTATGATTCAGTATTTAGGAGTTTTAGGCCAGTTTTTTATTTAGTGTTTACCACAACGGACCGGCGTTTTAAGCCGTCCAAGTGAGATCTCTCTTGGGATCGACCTCTTAATAAAATAACCTTACCATAATTTTAGAGAAATAATTTAGTAGTATTAACTTGGAATTGATAACTTAAATATAAGAGTGATATAAACGATAGCTGGAGACAATATTTTTCGATTGAATTTTAAAATTTTCCTCGGCCATTAACCATACAATGATATCCTAAATAAAATACAGATTGTATAAACATTAAACGTATTAGTGGCCACTTTGTAAAAAATTTAAACCACAAACGTCACATTTTTGTTGTCAGAGTACAAAAATTTGCAAACAAATATTTTATTAATCGTATTCATATGTAAATATGTGAGCTTCCACTAATATCCGGGATTTGGGATAAACACGCGCGTGATTCATGTCTA